GTCAGCACCATGACTGAAAACTACCTTCACTACAGCTCTTTTAGTCATTTCACCAATGGAAATACTGTGTTTCTACTCAGGATAACATGTTACAACCTTGTAACTTTGGCAACTGTTGGTGGGCCAAATCAAATGGCTTGGCGGGCCAAATTTGGCCCGCGGGCCCCACTTTGGGCTCCTCTGCATTAAACCAAGTTTAGTAAAATGAGCAATTTCTGCATATTTATGTAAGCAATATCCACATTTTCTTTTTTTAAAAAATGTATATTGCTCCATATTTACTCCACTAACTTTAGTGGAGCCAGTTGACATGACTTGGTTGAGTAAATTCAACACTTTTTAGAGTGCATAAACAACTCCTTTTATGAGTTCAGACAGATTTAATTTTGTAACGAGTAAGGTGTTCAATTTTACAGTAAAGAAGTAAAAGTAACATTTTTTTTAAAATGTGTACTCTGCCATTAAATACAAACTCTGCTACAGTTTTAAAAGTAACAAATTAAAAGTAAAATTAACAATTTTAAACAATACTTGGTAAAACTACAAATCCTCCAAAAAAATGACGTAAGTACTGTAACAAAATAAATGTACTTAGTTACTATAAAGCTCTGTGAGACTCTGTAAGACAGAACCTATACACTTTGGTTTTGGTCTAACTTGGATAAGCAGGAGTGGTCAGTATTAGTCTTTGTCTCCAAGCAGATGGAGCTATTCACAACAGGCAAGACATCATTTCTTCCTCCCCTTTTCCACAGAATCCTTCTTCAGACCTGAACTTTGCTTTTAGCAACATTTTTATAGCACAAAATAGTTAATATGCTCCCAACTGGTTCAGCATTAGGTCGATTTCGACACCCAACAATACAAACACTTTGTGTCAAAAAATAATCTAGCGTCTATACATACAGTAAGTCATCAGTATTAATTACAGAATCTTTTGTCCACCACTGAAGTGCATCCATAAGCAGCAGGCAGAACAAAAGAGCCTGATGTGCTCTGCTCTCCAAGCAGCATGTCATTAAGATGTCCCAAGCTTCACTTTGTCCTCCGACTGTTAGCTTGTAAAGAGCAAGAAAAGGCTGCTGGATTGCAAAGCCTTGTTGCAATCAAGGTTATTTAACTGAAAGTAGGAGAGCAGAGGACGATACGGCGGTGACAGCTATTATTTATCTGGATGTCAAGAGGCTGCCATAAATTAGTGATGAAATGATGCAGCAATATCTTACTCAGCCAGATGCTTTTTACTTGGCTCCCACCGATGGATACACAAAACTTTCCATTCCTTTAATCAAAAGGACCACGGAACCATCCGGACACGGTAGTTAAATCTGAAATTATTGTTGCTGGCTTCCAAAGTGAATCCAGTCTCCATGAAGGAAGTAATAGTTCCCCAAACCCCTTTAAGATCATTTCCCAGATAACTCTGCAAAGGTAGATTTGCAAACGTACAAAAGTCAGCTATCATCTCTGACATTTAAAACAAAGAGGGTAAAACTTGTAACTATTTTATTCCTGATTACGACCTACACTGTTTAGCTTCAGCCACCAGGCGGTGAGGTGCAGCTTATTCAAGCCAGAGGCAACTTAAAGCTCTGTCTCCTGCTCAAAAGACAAATGCAGTTTGTTGACATCTCTACTAAAAGATTTTTTTTATTTGTTTCTTATTTGGTCATACCACATCTGCTTGATGGACACACTTGAGTTACCACAGGGAAGAACAGAGAGAGATAGAACTGAGTGGTAAAACAAACAAACAACCAAAAAAAAAGTCAAGTACTATTTTATCCATATTTAGCTAAAAACTGCCTGCTCCTTTTCAAGGAAGTTGTAAAGATAAAACACTTAGCTTTCAATTTCGAAACAGTTTTACAGAAGAGTATATTGTGTATAGAGCAGGGG